TTTAAGCTGATAATTATATCGGACTCTTTTTTAAAATTATAGAAATATGCAAAAGATAAATAGTCTTATCATGTTTGACTGAGAATCGGGTGAAAGGTGAACTTTAATCGGCCAGTGAAAACTAAATATTTCCTTTAACAGAACTAAACTTACACATTTTGTTTCATGGTGTTTTATTTGCTGTTATGTCAATGTCAATCTCTACTATGATTTATAACCTTGTGGTGTTATCTCTGTGACCACTAAGGAAATCCTTAGACTATGACAGCCTCCAAGGATACAGCTCTTCCTGCCTCTCCCAGATTCTAGTGAAAAAACAGCAGGAAAAAGGAATGTGTGATGTCCATCAGTTTGAATTCACCACTGTAAAATGGAATCAACTGTGAAATACAATAACAAAAATTGTTTTTGTTTTAACATTTTTAAATTTAGATAATTTACTAATACTTGAATGTCTTTCTTTAAAATCTTTTAATAATTATGAAAATATTAATGTCAAGTTATCTAATTAGCAAATATTCTGAGAAATACAATTTCAATGCCAAATAAGGGAAAAGCATTTACAAATAAGGGAGTTTTTTTGTCAGAGAATTGATAGTTGAAAATGGTTGAGTGAGGCTGAAAGCATGGTTACTTGATTCATCATGGGTATTTTTAATTGGAGAATGTTTGACAGTATTGGATTGCAAACCACACATCTGTTTTCCACCCAACATCAAAATACCTAATTGAAGATGAAAATGAGATGTGTGTGTGTGTGGTTTTCATTAAATATAAGTCCAGAGATGATGGCTCCAAACTGTCCTCTTTGTGACAATGAAAATTCTGAACAGCTGTCTTCTGTGGTTTTACTAGTAATATTCAAGTTAGTCGTTTTACTCGGTCAGCTTGTGTAATGCATACAAATGAACATGTGTGATATATTTGATTTCGTTTGTTACCAAAAGATGCAGATGTAACTAGGAGCTGTTGCCAGGACTACCAGTTTTATCTTCTGAAAAGTATTTTATAATGTATTTTGGAAGTGGATACAAGTGACATGCACATGCTTCCTTGTAATAAAGAGGAATGATCTTGAAGTGCCACAGTTGTCACGGAAACAATGTATTTTATGTACCATATTGAACATGACACGGTGAAACACTAGGGATGTTATATCGCTTTAAACTGGAAAGCCTTGACTGATGATTCTCTTCTTTTCTCCTTCAAATTATGCGTACATATCCTGTTCATGATAACTTAAACATTTTTTTTTATTTTTCAGGATTAAAACTTGGGGAGTCTTTAAAGAGAACAACACCGGTTAAAACTAGTGTGTCACTTACTGCCAAATCGGACTCTAAAAAGAACCATAACTATATACCACTGTATGCTGATGAACGTGAAGTTGTTACAATCCAAGACTTTGAAACGGACGATTTACAAATGTTACCTTTTGGTAAAGGTGAAATATTGACATTGCTTCATAAGGAATCAAACCGTTGGTGGTATGCATATAATGAGAAACGGCAAATGGGGTTCATCCCAGCTGCTTTTGTTCGAAAATTATCGGAATCCGAAAGGGGTAAAATGGGATATGCCAATCCCTTATACACAGACAGTGACGAAAAGGTTGCTCCGATTACGGAGGCTTTCCGGAGGCTCAGCTTAGAGAGCAGTTTTCATGTTAGTCCTGAAAAGGGTCACATCCTCACTCCTTCAACGGCAAGTGATTTGGATTTGACAGCAGAGGAACTGCAGTTGGAATTTTACCGTGAAAAGTTTGCCAAGGACGATATTTATGTGTCTTCTGACTACATTACTAGTTTTCTCAGGGCTACAGAACATATAAAACTTGCCAAAATGCAGAGGTCGCACGAGAGGAAAGTAGCCAACCAGAATGCGGGAGCATCTCCATTGTTATCGAGACACACGCAATCATCACACCATGAAAAATCAACACCTCCATCAATACGTAGGGACTTGAAACCACGTATTCATAAACCGCTGCCACCAACACCAGAAGACAGTCCTGTTCGGACGCGGAAACCACTCCCAGTGCAACCAGTTGACTCTTATGCAAATAACGATGGGATAGAGACGGAAGGTGGATATTCATTTTTGGCCGAGTGCTCGTCTGGTTCAACGAATTAATCCCACAAAAAATACTAGAGACTAATTACAAAATTAAGGAGCATAATTATGACATCATATTTGGTTATTATCGGGCATACCATTACAATCATAGGAGTGAACAGTTCCCGTCTGAAAAAAATAATAATTTCATTTCTCAACAATCAGTGTTTTATCATGTTCATGATTATAACCAATTTAATATTTGTTTTCACCTAATTTTTAGCAGCTGATTCTAATTATCCTGTTACCGTGGCAATATATTAATGAATATGAAATTTAAGGTAGTGAAGACTTTCAAAGATGAAGCAAATATATCCACCGATAAGAGACTATCTTTCGAGACATATACCTAAAAATCATTGCACTCTTTAAGTTACAGATCTTGCCAGAAATCTATCACAATTTCTTTTAAAAAAATAATATCTAAAAAGTTGTAAAAAATTCTGAAAAAGTGTGTGCTAAATTATTTTGGGCATTGGAGACCTATTCTGATGCGAGTGAGTAACGTGACCTAGATTTCAATTTTACTGAAATACCTCCCCTCACAATTTACCCAGTATCCCTTAATGCATAATGGAATGTTCTAATGCGTAATGTCACATGGTTAGAGCGTGATGGATCATGCTACTATAATTAGGGATGAGATGCAAGATATTTGTGATGAGAAACGTACTAGAACTTTTTGTCCTTTGGAACGCAGCCAGATGCTACAACAGAGCTGGCCTCATTCAGGCATTTCAAATAATAGCTTTCTATGAGCCAAGATTGATCCTTTGCTATTCTTGACTCAACCATTTCTTTGGAAGGGAGGGCAGCTTAAATATCTGGTAATTTACCATTACCTCAAAGGGGGGGGGGGGGCGGTTAGAACTATTTTGGAAGGGCTTCATATGCAAATACATACAGCAGAATTTTTGTCTGAATAGTGAGCTTGAATTACTACAGTTTGGGGTAAAATCACCCCAAAATAATGTCATTTACAGATTTACCTCAAAATTGTAGTTTTTTAAAGGCAGACAGACCCCAGAAGTTGGCAGAATTACATACTGGGATACATTGTAGAATTGGGCTGTGTTCTACTCTACCATAGTCTTTCTATTACATGTCATTGGCATTTACTGTTTTAGTGTGTACAAAGGAATGAATTTGATATTTAGAATCTCACCTTAGTAAAGTCCAGAAAAACACCAAATATGGTGGCTTATTTGCATACCAGAATAATGCAAACACCAAATATGGTGGCTTATTTGCATACTAGAATAATGCACAAAAATCTAAAATGCACAAACTAAATGCTGCAAGAGACTAAGCTTTTCTTCCAAAAAGGCAGTTTCTCAAATATGCTGATTATATGCAAATGAGTTGTTCATATTTGGGCATTCTGGCTGTTTAATGTCAGTTTTCAGAATGTTGAATTTTTAGAAACCTGTTACTTCAACTTTGGTTCAATCTGATTGGTTCCTGTAGAAATTAAAAAATTGATCTACTGGACTTTGTCGTTAGGCTATGAATGAACAAATTTATCTGAAATAAAATCAACAACCCCACCTAACCTTAAAAACACCAACCAGCATTTAAGAGTTACTTCTGAATAGAAATTGAGCCCAAAAAGTTTCAACATTTTGAATTCTTGCATTCTGTGGTGAAAGAAATTATGTGAAGATTTTTAGAAATTTAAAAATAGGATTCTATTATTGTTATATATATAAGAAAAATGAATTGTTTAATATGTAACACCTTATCCCACAAACCTCTGCTTTTTTTCTTTGTTATTTTAATGTTTATTTGAAAATAATTTAATGTTTTTAGACATTTTTTTTATGAGTGGTTTTGTAGTAAAAACCAGAAAAGCTTATAGAAATTTGTTCATGTTTATTTAATTAAGTAGCCATATGTGGTTATTATTACAGCTATTAATATAATATCAAGAAAGGGTCTCTTTCGGAGAAACTGGTGTATAAAAGTGTATATTTAAGTCAAAATGACTAAAAATGAAAAATGTTTTAGAATATTTTCATTTTCTGTGCTGGGGCTGCTCTGTATTTGTGCACTAACATGAGGCTCAAATGTTCTGTCATTTTTAGAAGAAAGTATAGAAAAAAAGCTATCATTTTATCTTACACCTCATTTTGTTAGCATGCGGCAAAATATTAAGAACCTGTAGCGTCATTTACATTTATATGAATCCTTCACCTTTATTGCCGTACTGCCTTTTAATAAAACTTTATGTAACGGCAGACAAAGAAAGGCAGCGCTAATCTCTAAGAAATGTTACACACCTTGAATTAATAATCAATTACATGAAGAAAAAAATCAATTCTGCAACTAATTAGCTCGCTCAATGATTATGATACTGGATCAGTGATCTTAAGGTTAGGGTTCTCTGCCTCGCTTTGTTGAAAAACAGCGCCCTCAACACAGAAAATGAATTTATGGGTTGTTTACAAAAGAAACTGAGTTGTGAGTGGAATTCTGTACAAAGTGATAATATGTATCTATTTATTACTGCTTACTGTGCGCATACGCCCTATATTTTTATATTAAAATTTTATTGCAAATTTCCAGTCAATACTATTTTGAAATAAAAAGCTGCAATGTGAAATGTATGGTTTGTTCTTTTCTATGCTGGTAGTATAGTTCTGGGATTATGGTATTTTACTGTAAAACAAGATCAACAAACACATTTGAAATGAGCATCTCCCTTGATACAAAAGCCACAAATAGTTGGTTTCCTTTTCAAGTGTTTCTATATAACTATTGTGGTTTCCCCTGTAAATGAAACAATTACGAAAGGAACAATTTTGTGAAATCCTATGTTTTCGTCCATTTCACTATTCCTGTTGAGATCTTTTTGATTGAGTTTTTCGATTTTTCGTCTGTCCATCTGTATACAGCAATATCTTGCACATGCTTGGGCTGATCAAGTTCAAAGTTCACGCGACATCAGACATTATATCGTACATATGTACATGCATTTGTTTCGTGATCTAATTCACGATGGCCGATTGGCAGCCATTTTATGGCCAAAAATGAATCAAAATCACACATTTTCACCATTCCAGAACTGGATCTCGGTTATGCCTAGACAGATTTTGTTCAAACTTGCACATCATTTAATTTTTCGACCATTTTGTTTCAAAGAATGTAGTTTCTGATCCATACATTCAATATGTATGCCTAGATTGATCAAGTTAAAACTTAACTTGTACATCAGACATCATAATCGCACATGAGTTTTTGTCACCATCAAATCCAAAATGGCTGACTGGTGGTCATCTTGTTTAAACAAATGTAGTTTCACTGACTTGTATATCGTATATGCCTGGACAATCAAGTTTAAACTTCACATGTACATCACATGTTGGTCATATGAAAAGCTTAGTCTATGTCATTGATGGCCTTGTTAAAGTTCTGAAAGAAAATGATAGCCAGATGCCAGAATGGGAGTTTAGTTTTTCCTAAAAAATTGATAAAATGAGTGCTTTTGAGAATCTCCAACTTGAAATCGTTTACTAATTCATTTGAAACTATTAAGGCAGTGTGAGAGTAATTGAAGATTAAGAATCCATGCTCTCATTATGGTAGATTAATGCCTTAAGAATACTAAAATGGAAATGGAAAAAATTGGGTCACTGTACAATTTTATGAGAAACTGAAATGTCTTGGAAAAGTCGTAAATTGTGAGAATCGTGTTATGTGAATCATTTCAAAACATTGACATTTAATTTGTGAGTTTCTAGTGTGATAAGTTTTCTATTATATACAACAAGAATTTCTCCCCCAAAATGCATTGCATATATGTGCAATAACATGCTCAGTAGTTTAAAAATTGAATTGACTTCAAGTGCCATAATCTGCTCATCACATCCCTGGATTATGAGAAATTTGTATTTCTTACAAAGTAGTTTTGAAGGTGCATGACATTGATGGAACAAATTAGTATGCAAAGGAGGATGAGGAGTTGTTGAAATAGCCAGGCAACTGTGTTGACCTTAATTTACAAACTTCAACTGCGCCCTCTAGTGATGGAGTGCTTCTGTGACGTCATAAATACGTATATGCGTTATGTGGCCATAGCGTGTCATTGTTTACAAACAAACGTCTACCCATGAACCTTTGCCTTTTTAGTGTGTATTATCGTCGCTTGGGACTCAATTCCCGCGCGTGCGCAGGTGACGACCCACCTGCTATAAGCATCG